CGCCCGGCGATCCACACGAGCGCGCGCCACAATCCAATTACGATTTTTAATTTCTCCGCTCTCGAATCACGAGCAGTGCCCTCGTCGTGCTCTGTCTCTCTCGCACCCCTGAGCCAAGGACGGCGAGTGCGAGAGAGACAGAGCGACATTGAATGGGGCCGGTGGCCGGTCGTTACCCCATTCGTAAGGTAACGCGTCTGGTCCACGGTCCACGGTCCATGGAGGCGCGGCGGCCGGGCGAGCGGACGTCGCGGCCCCGGACCGGGAAACCCAACGGGCCATTTGGCAAGGCGTCGGCGGGGCTGGGTCAGAACGGCCTGAGCTGTCCACCGAGGAGGAAGAGGCCGCCCCGCCCCGCCCCGCCCCGCCCCGCGGCGGTACCGTGCCGCCACACTCGCCGCGGAACACAGGATGTGGCGGGCCGGCTGGAAGTGCGAGTGAGAGAGTGAAAGGAACGGCAAGGCGGCGGGCCGGCTGGAAGTGCGAGAGAGTGAAAGGAACGCAGGAACGACGGACGGCCAAGGCGTGCAGTGAATAATTACTCCAGTTGCAGCCCAGCCCACGCCCCCCACCACGGTGCACCGTGCCGTACCAGCGGGCTGGTCGTCGCGCTGTCTCCGTCGCACTCGCTGGCCGTCCCGTTGCGGTGCGAGAGAGACAGAGCGACGAAACGCCTCGGCGGGCGCCGCCGCGCCGCCCATTCAAGCGGCACTCTACGCGGCGGGCGGACTCTCGCCGCCGCGACCATTCAGCTTCGGCAGCGCGGCGGACGAGACGAGTCGTCAAAACATTGCGGCGATGAGGCGATGAGCTGGCCGACGCCACGCCGCGCCACGCCACGCCACGCCACGGCCGGTCGCAAACCGAGCGTGATTCACTCACTCAATGGCCTTCCTTACCTTAGAGCCGCGCGGCCGCGCCACTGGGCTCCGTTCGGCTCCGTTTCGCTGTTCGGCGGCCAGGTGCTTATTGGCGAACAGTGGTGCTGGCTGGTCTGCGTTTGGAGCAGCCGGGCTGGGGTCCCACTTCTGTTGCCCCCCCCCCTCCCCTTCTCCGTCCCCTTGGACCAACACGGGGGCACGCGGGGCAAGCACCTCGCCATTCAAAAGCCCCCCGCCTAATGGGTAGGCAGCACACTGTTTCCGAACGAACCTTTCGTCGCTCTGTCTCTCTCGCACGCATGGGGCAGCCCGTAGGGATGCGAGGGAGACAGAACAGTGCGGAATCGCTCTGCAGTGGCGTGGACACCGCCACCGCCGGTGCGGTCTGCGTCCTAGACCCTTGTTCCTGACGGGAAGGGTATTGCTGCAGAGGACGGAAAACAGAGTCCTCTCTAATCGTCACATTCCAGGCGGGGCGGGGCGGGGCGGGGCGGGGCGGGGCGGGGCGGGGCGGAATCGTGTCGGACGGCGGCGGCGGCACCGCGGTCCGGCGAGGTGGAGAGTGGGAGGGGGAGGGAGCGGTGTGTGAGTCACGGGCCACCTCTTGAACCCGCCGCCCGGTGCCTCCATCTCACGCGAAACGACGCCAGTGCGCCAGTACGCCAGTCGTGCCCCGATTGTTGTCGTTCCAGTGTTGTTCCAAAGTCGTCGTGCGGAAGCGAAGCGAAGGGGCAGGGGAAGGGAGGCGGACCTCGTTCCAGCAGCAGCGTCCAGCAGACTGATTCCGAGAGTCGTTTTCGTCGCTCTGTCTCTCTCGCACCTATGCGGGACGCCCCATGAGTGCGAGAGAGACAGAGCGACGAAAATGACTCTCGGAACCAGTCACTAGCGTGTTTGTGTCAGCCGCATTCAGCGCCTGCATTACACACTGCGCGGTTCGACTGAATCTGCTTTTGCGGAAACGTTCCAAACACAAATGGATTCCACTTGACCACTCGCCCGTTGCTGGCCGCCTCGCCGTTGTCACCCGCACCGCGCGCCTGCAGGCTGCGATTCCGAACGGCGCTCTGTCTCTCTCGCACCCCTACGAGACGCCGCATCATGGCGAGAGAGTGAGAGAGACGGAGCGACGAGACGATCCTGGCTGCTGCGCCGCGCTGCAGTCCGCACTGCAGTCCGCGCTGCAGTCCGCGCTGCAGTCCGCGCTGCAGTCCGCGCTGCAGTCCGCACTGCACGCGGGCTTCCTGTGCTCGGCACGGGTTGGCACGGGTTGGCACAGGTGTAGACGGCGCGCCGCGGCGCGGTCTGGCAGGCTTGTGGATGCAGTACCGCGCCCCGCCGCTCGGAACCACCGCCGCCGCCGCCGTCGACTGCCTTCCGGCGTGGCGGGGCGGGGCGGGGCGGGGCGGGGCGGGGCGGGGCGGGGCGGGGCGGGGCGCGACGGCGCGAGGCGGCGGTGGCCACAGCACTACACCGCAAGCTCCGCAAGTGCCGGCAGCCGGATTAGCGCAAGCAGCGATTTGCGGCGTAAACAGCGTCACAAAAAGGCTGGATTATCAGAGCGAACCAAAAGGACCCAATGGCGTTTCGCCGGAAGGGGGAAAGGGGGGGGGCGTGTGTCGCCCGACGGTCGCCGCACCTGTACTACACCAGTACAGTGTAGTACGCTCGGACGGAAAAGTGGCCGGCCACTGGCATTATCGGAAAAAGAAAAATAAATTAGCCGGAGGAAGATGCGGCATTTCCTGCACTTTGGCCTGCCGGCCTCCAGGAACGGCGTTTTCGTCGGCAAAACGATGCCGGCACTTCCAGTGCCGCAGGGACGCGATGATGCACATTTCGGTGTGGCATTGGCCTGGAAATTTCCGCGGCGCCACACGAAAGGCGAAATGCACGGCGAGGTCGCGCCGCCCATCCCGGCCCAGCCCAGCCCACGCTCTGTCTCACTCGCACTCATGGGGCTCTCCGTAAGGGTGCGAGAGAGACAGAGCGACAAACCGATCCTGTGAATCGCTCGGCAGGGACCGCGACGCCACGGCGACGCACAGCAAACGGCCTGGCGCGGCCGGCACGGCCCGGGATGCACAATTGCAATTGTGTCCGGTCCTCGTCGTCCTCGTCCACCACGTCGCCCAGAGCGATTTCCAACCGTGCTTCGTCGCTCTGTCTCTCTCGCGCCCTTACCGCCTGCGGGACGGTCCGCGAGAGGGAGAGGGAGAGGAACGGACGGCGTCCGCGGTCGTGTGACACGCTGTACAGCGGCTGAAGCTTCACCGGCCTGCACACTGTACCTCACGCCAGCCGCTCCGGCTCCAGCCGCCGGGTCTCGGCTGCAGCTGGCCCGCCACTGGCTCGTTCCGAACACGTCGCGCCGTCTCTCTCGCACTCACGGGGCCTGCCGCAACTTCCGCAGCGGTGCGAGGGAGACGGCGCGACGAAGCTCCGTCCGGAAGCAGCCTGCTGGCGTCGGTGATAGCGCCGCGAGGATCCAGGGATCCAGCCATTGGGCTCGTTTCAATTCCCACTGATGCGTCACACTCCGCGGCGCAGCGCCGAGCGAGCGAGAGAGAGAGGGGGGGGAGACGGACCTTTCATATTTCATCAAAGCCGGTGCCCCGCGCTCATCGCCGCAGCCCACGCCGCCACTCGGGTGTTTTGGCAGCGCGAAAAAAAGAAAGGGCAACGTGAAACGCGCCGCTCCTGTCCTTTGGTCGGATGACGGTGATTGTTCTGCAAGGACTTTTGTCTCGCCGTGCGAGGGAATTGATGTCGTTCGAGTCGTTCGCTCTGCACGTGTGCCGCGTGTCCTAGACGGCTAATAATCGACCGCTACGCTGCCGGCAGCCGACTCATTCCGCGAGACGCACAGTGGGCCAGAAGACCGGTGGGGGCGACCGAAACTCTAGACGCGTTATTGTCGCCCTGTTTCACTGGTACCCACAAGGAACGCACTACGAGTGCGAGAGCGACAGGGCGACGAAAACGACTCTCGGAATCAGTCTGCAGTGCCTCGGCCCGCCAGACGAGACGTGCGCCACCTAGGGACTTCCCCCCCCCCCCCTCCGCGCGGCCCAAATGAGCGAGTCACTGGAGCGGCTGCCGAACGCGAAACGCCAACAAGGGGGAAAAGTCGTCTTGAAATCAGGCCAGCGGTTGGAAGTTGGAACAACGACCAAGGGCTGGCGGGCCTGAGCCAGTCAAGCATGCGGCCGCGCGCCGCGCCCGCCACCAGGTCCCCGTCAGGTCCTCGCCGGGGACAGGGGACGCAACCTTCTCTGTTCATTGAATTTCTCAACGTGCCCTTAAGTGCGGCCACCCCGCCCCCGCGCCCTGCTCCGTGCCCTCGCCTCAGCCATGTTTAATGAAGCAGAAAAGTACCCAAACTGGGTGGAACCGCCGCGACCGCCGCCACCGCGTCGAACGGCGCACGGGGCCCTTCGAGCCCCCGATGGCCCCCAGCCCCCCACCTGCTGCCGCGCGACCCCGACCCCAGCCAGGGCTGTTCCGCTGGGCCTGGCGATGTGCAACCTGTGCATAATGGACTTAATCAATCCAGAAAACGTTTTGTACACGGTGGTGGCCCTGCCGGTTTTGTGGACGGCCGCCGAGAGTCGTTTTCATCGCTCTGTCTCTCTCGCACTCATGGGGAGTACCGTATAGGAGTCAGTGTGCTGGTTCGGTTTGGCGGCCCTGCCCTTGCAAGACGACGCCGTCCTGGAGGGCCTTGCGACACATCCTGAGGGCAGCAAGCGGGCAAGCAGACAACGGCTGCAAACAGTGCGGGCGTGGCGCGCGCGCTTATTGCGTTAAGTATCGTCGGGTGTGTTCCCTTGGTTCCCTTCTCCTCCGCGCCAGCCAGCAGCGCCAGCCAGCAGGGGACTGTACCGGGCTCGGGCTGTACACTGGAATGGTGGTCCTTTAAGGTCAAAAAGCAAACTTCCTCGCGGCGCCCTTCCGCCCACCCGGGGAATGCCCGTCCGTCCCATTTGCTATCTCTCCCCGGCTGCCGGGGCAACCCGCCGGCCCGTCGCCCCGCCGCCCTGCATGCACTACTGGGTCCCATTCATGCCCGCGAGGCGCACGTCTCACACGCGGCCGGTTTCATTCACACACACTCACCATGGCTTGGGTGTCCGTCGTGACCGAGTCCGCGTCGTAGCCGGAGGCGGACAGCGCCGACGTGCTGAGGGCGGCGACGCACACCAGGAGGCCGCAGCCCAGGATGGTGACGGGGTGCATGGCGTTGGCGGTGGTGCCGCGGTGGGCACGTCGCTGCTCACTGTCACTGACGCCGCGGACGCCGCGCCCAGCAGTGCCGCGATCGGCTCTGTCCCGCGATAAGATAAGATCCACCTGCGGACGCGCTCCGCAGTGGGTTCGCGGTCCTCGTCGGGGTGCTCGCGATCGCTGCCTCGCTGCCTGCACCACGGTAACGCTGCACTGCAGCCCACTGCAGCCGCAACGGCAAAGCACTCCGCACGCTCCGCACTCGCGACGGCCTGGCGGTGCGGCGGCTTGCCTCTGGCTGCCTCTGGCTTGCCTGGCGATGACTGCGACTGACTGACTGACTCTCGGCGGCTCGGCTCGGCGGCTTGGCTCGGTGCGGCTCGCCGCGCTCCGCTCGCTGCCCGCTAGTCCGTCCGCTCAGTCGGCTGCTCCACGCCGCGATCCCGCTCCGATCCGGTCCCACGGACTACAGGCACTACAGGACGGACGGCCGCTAGAGTAAAGCCCAAAACCACGGTGGTGGTGGCCGTGCTCCAATCAGCTCGGCGTCCGTCTGTCTGTCCGTCTGTCCGGCTGGGTCCCCCGCGACGCGACGGCGCCTCGGCTCGGCTCTGCAGCTCGGCTCGGCTCGGCGGGCTCGGCCTGCGGCGCGCGGGACGGCGGGACTCGGGGCCGCGCGAAGCAGCGCGATGCGACGAGTCACTGAAGCGGCACGGCACGACGACACCCGCTTTTATAACATTGGCAGGTGTGTGTGGGGGAGGGGGAGGAGGGGGCACCCTTGGCAGCGTGTTGGTGTGTGTGTGTGTGTGAGTGTGTGTCTGTGTGTGTTGTCTCCCGGGAGCCTCGCCACCACCAGGCTGGTAACGCTCGGCAGGCAGCACCGGTTCAGGTCTGGACCAGCCCTAAGGTGCATCCGGCGGCGCGCCCTAGAGCCCTCGAGAGGGCCTGCCATCTGTCCTCCCTTCCTTCGCACTCCACACCATCTGTGTACTCGCCTTTGTTTCGAAGAAAGACGGCACATCACCGTCACAACCAAACCAAGCCTACTTCGTACTCGAGTACACTGTATTGTACTCACCAACAAATATCCATCACCTGTAAGATTGTTGCCACCGGGAATGCTAACGCTGTGTACTGTCGCTTAACGACAGCACGTTGTGCTGTGTGTGACCACCAATCCCTGATCAACAATGCCAAAAAGACACGCCATTTTGTCTTGCTTCGAAATTTTTAGCAGTTCGCTCTTTAGAGCTCGATTATCTGTGAAGCTGGGAGCGCATCCGAAGCACAACATGGTAAGTGATGCATGAGACAAGCGACGAGCCACTGCCTCGGCCGCATGCCTCGGCGCAGCAGTGCTTTGCTTGCGTTTGCTTGTGATTCGGAGCGATGCGTCATCGCAGCGACCCGTCACCATCACACACTCCGACTGCCACTGCGCTGTGCGCGTTTGTTCGCGCTTGTTGCACGCTTACGTCCGGAAGGCCGCTCCGGGCCGAGATAGACAGTTAGTTCGAGGGAAATAATTTTGAGTGTGTGTGTGCACCGTTGCGCGTGCGGCTGACGAGGCCCTTGGGCATGTCCCCGCTGCAGCAGCTGTGCTCACTCAAAACTGTCCGAACGTTCTTGAAAGGCGTTGCTGTGCTCAAACACAGGTGTCTTCGGGCTCGTCTTGTTTTGAATCGATGTAACCAGGGAGGTCCAGCACTGCACTGGCCGGCTCGACGCCTTGCTCGACGCCGTGCTCGACGCCGTGCTCGACGCCATGCTCGACGCCGTGCTCGACGCCGTGCTCGACGCCGTGCTCGACGCGTAGCCCCGCGAGGGAGCTGCTGCCCCGTCTCATTCATTTCGACAGAATCGCTTGGATGCGGTTCGAGTCGGCTCGACTCGGCACGGCCCGGCACTTGCCCGGTCATCGGCCACCTTGACCCCACCCAATCTCGCGATCCAGCGGCTTGAGCAGAACCAGCCCTCTGTTCCGCCCCGCCGCTCCTGCCGGACACACTGGGCCAGAAGACCTAACCTGTTTGGGCGGACCAAACTCCAGACACGTTCGGGGCTCGTCTTCCAGTCGGACCCGAATCGAACACATGATGGTACCAATGGATTGCCCTTCGAACGAGGAATCCGGTGCCGTCATGAGTTTGATTCGAGTCCTATTTGAGGTCAGGGCCCAAAAACGTTTCTAGTTACGCCCGCTCCAACAGGCCTTGGCTCTGTGAGAAACACATGCCAGCGGCTGCCCCCACGCTCACCGATTCCAGGAAACTTGGAGAACGCCGACACCGTTCGGCATGGGGCCCGCGGCCGCGCGCGGGTCTGCGGACCAGCCTGGTGACGCAGCCAATCGTGGCCCGGCCGCTGATTTCGGGGATTTCATTGAGCGAATTTGTGGCATGGAGAGCAGATGCCTCTAGCCATGGGACGTGGGTCGTGGGTGGCTAGCAGCAGCTGCGGTGGACCAATGGTCTCGGTTTGGATCACTGGCTGGAAATTCCGCCATGTGATGAACTCGTCGAACTAGAGAGGGGGAGAGAAGAGTCGGAGTGGCTCAGCGGAGGGAAACCGAAAGAAGGAAAAGAAGCTCAACTTGGGAGATTTCTTTTTCTGTTTTGGTGTCTTAAGTTTGTTTGCAAGAAGGGGGAGGAGCAAGAACCCCGCGAAATTTTACAGCTAGGCGCCACTGCTCTCGGCATCTCCGTATTTGCAAGGAGAATGTTGCTCAGGGGCACGCCAGGCTGACTCCGAACACTGCCTTTTTTTGCGGCGGCCCGTAGGGTGCAGTAGTTGTTTGGGGTGCCAGGGAGACAGGGCGACGAAAGCACAGTCTCAAGTCCGCCTTTACAGCGAGGACAGCAGACGGGTTGCAGAGTTGCAGCAGACGGCAGCAGACCACGAAACTGAGCCCAGCCCGCTTGTCAGTGGCACAGTGTTCCCTTTGGCGCGCCAATTTTTCCAAAGCTCTGCACAACCACAGCCACAGCTTATTTTGTCGGAAGGGCTCAGGTGGGGCACGGGACGGGACGGGCTGGAACGGCCGGCGCCCCGCGGCCATCGCCACCACCGTCACCTAATGGCCATGTAACTGACAGGGGCACTTTGGCTCCGGCAAACCAATGAGCTTCAAGGGGCTTCCTCTTGGCACCAGCATGGGCATCATCGTCCTACCCCCGCCCCGCCCCGCCCCGCCCCGCCCCGCCCCGCCCCGCCCCGCCAGGCACGCCGCAGGCTACACGCCGCTCGCTGGCTGGCTGCCTGGCTGGCTGGCTGCGCCTCGCCGTGCCATCCCGAGCAAAGCCTTCCTCCTCTCGGGGCTCTACTCCGCACGCTCCGCACCGCACCGTGCGCGCCGCGCGCCGCGCCGGGCCGGCGGTAAGGCCGGCGGTCCCTCACGCGGAAACGACGCGACACGCCAAACAAATGCATCACGCATCGCACGCGCGCCTGCCACAGTGTGCCACACCGCACGGCGGATGTTGCTTTTATTTTCGCGTCGTGCCCGGGGCGGCTTGTCTGTCGCAGGCGGTGTTTCGATAGTATTGATAGCAGTCGATATCCTCTACTCGACAAGCGAGGATTCAGAAGAGCGGTTTGTCGCTGTCTCTCTCACACCCTCGTGGAGGGCCAGAGGGAGAGCCCTTGCGACAGTGCGGCAGAGGCAGGGCGACGAGACGACTCTTTCGAATCGCTGGGCGGTTGCACTACTGTGCACTCGGTTCACTCCCTTCTCGCCCCGACTTGTAAAGTGAATCAGGGCCGCTGAGTCACTCCCGGCGTAGATCTCGGGATGCTTATCGCTGTCAGCAGCGTTTTCGGGGCTTGCCTTTCGGCTGCTTCCGAGGTAGGTTTCGCGTCTCCCCTTCCGGAGTGCGAGAGAGACAGCGACGGCACCGCGTCCATGCGAAGTGACGGTGACCGGGCTGTCCCATCCACGGCGGCCGATGAGGCTTCGGTCAAAGTTTGGGCGGGAGTGTCGGCACCGCGCCGCCCTGCCCCGCGCCCCGCCGTCCCGCACCGCCCTGTCTCTGTCGCACTCATGGAGCGTCCGGTAGGGGTGCGAGAGAGACCGATTCTTCGGACCGGGCCGGCTGCCGGCCGCAGCCACCGCGCCCAGGTCGCACACCGCCGGGGTGGGCGGGGCCGGGCCCGGCGTTGGCATCTATCTTCGTCACCTTGGCACAGGGCTGGCACAGGGCTACACGACCGCGGCTCGGCCGCCCAAACTATCACGACATTGTCGCCGGGGCCTGCGAGTCTCGCTGCGCTGCGAGGGAGGCAAGGCAAGTCAGTCCCACTGATAAGACCGGCCACCTCAAGTAGCAGTGGAGCAGTCGCTCGGCAGGAAGCAGAAGAAAGCCGCTAATCAGCTTAACGCCGCCACGCCGCGCGCTTTCTATACCGCCGTTGTCAGTTTCGGGGACTGGCCCGCATTGATTTTTCTCTTACTATCCTCTCCCCGACTCTGCCTCGGCCGATGGGCTCGCCCATAGGAAATACAGTGCGCGTGCGCGCGCGCGTCGGCGCCGCGCTCCTCTCTGGCGGGCATTCCAGAGTAATGGAAGCCACAAGGAACACACTCACACACACGCACCCAGGTGTGCACACACACGCACACACTTCACGGGGAGCCTCCGAGACGCACAACCTGCGTCGTAAAAAGCTACGGCAGGCGTGTTACAGTGTTACGCCGCGGCGGCGCGGTGACGTGCCGACGGTGCCGAGCCGGCGAAGCTTTGGGGCTTCCCTTGTATTCCGTCTGTTATGGGGTGGCGGCGGCGGCGATCTGGGGTCGCGGAGAGGGGGGAGGGGAGCAGGGGCAGGCTCGCGTCCTTGGAGGCTGGCTGGACGGGGAAGAGGGGTGGGGGGGCAGGCGACGGGGACCAGGCTCGCGGGGGCGGGGGCGCCGCCCAAGCTTTCCAGGTTAGCATCCGTAGTTACTCATGCCGGTGAAAACTTCCGGTGGGACGGCCGTCCTCGGAGGACTCAGGGCCCTGCAATGCGGCGGGGTCGTCGCCTTTCGGCGAGTGTGTGTGTGTGTGTGTGTGGTTTTTTAAGCTCAAAGTGGCCTTATTTTTCTTTCTTTTTTTTCGAGCCGATGACGGATTGTGGCTGGGTGTGACATTCCGATACCGGACGGGTACCGGACGGGCCCATGCCGCGCGGGGCGCGCTGGGCCGGGACGGCACCTTATCGTGGGGACCTTCGCGTATTATTGGAGGAGGCGACACGTCACCGCACTGCCTACTCAGCCCGGCGTCGACGCAGCGGTGGGCCGTCTCGTCGGTGTGGCTGCTGTCGCGGCTGTCGCGCTGGCTCGCTGTTCGCGCCGTTTGCGGGGCCTGCATTGTTCTGCACTGCAACAGTGCGACACTTGCATCACGGCCACGATGGCCATCACGCCCCTTTAGCTCGGTTTAGCGCCCCTCGTCAAATTTATGTAACTTTGCATGTCGCGCCGCCGCGTATTCCGAAAGGGTCGTTCCGTCGCTCCGTCTCTGTCGCACTCGCGGGGCGGTCCCGAGGACCCCGGGGGCCCCGAGGGGAGCGAGAGAGACAGAGCGACGGGGCGGGCCTCCGGACCGAGCCTGCCGGTGGCGCTG